TGGTTAAATTTCGAGAGGATGTTATGTTTAGTCAGAATTTTTATTGTCTAGGCCGGTTCGGTGCGAGCGGTTTCAAAGTAAGTCGGTTATTGCCTTGTTAATTTGAATACGTTACCGGTCTCTTTGATCTCTGTAGAGTCGTCTAACCGGTGATACGGAATCCGTCATTTGACTTTAATCGTATAAAACCACGGGACCTCTCGATTCAAATTCAAAATTGAGATATCTTCTTCGTTAGATATTTCTAATTTATTGGAAGTGATTTGATTGTTGATGTCTTTCTTTTTTATAATCGGTACGATTGCATCTGTTAATTGAACGAAACAGGATTCGTGTCTTGAGAACAGGTGATTTAGTCACGGTGGATTTGCAAATAACGGTTTCGTTATTAAAATTCTGTTTATGTAATTTAGAATCTATCTTAAACGATTCATTTTCAATTTCTAATTAATATTTTTCTCTTATTTTTACACCATAAAGGTCTCATTGGATAGTGGACAATATTAAAAGTTATCATGTTTAGTTATTAAGTTATATTATCCTTACAATTATCGGTATAAAATTAAAAAAAAGTAAATGTTAGTCTTTATAAAAGTATTCTCAAAATGAAGAATAAACAGTTGACTATCAAATAACTTATTAATATAACGAAAAATGGAAATAAGTAGCGATATAATTTAAACTATAGTATATTACTGATGATAATAAATTAAGTTCTAGTGATAGCTCATCGAATTATGTTCTCCGCGTTGCTATTGGTGAAACGAAGTAACACTGAGGGACTATGCTTGCGCCACGAGTTAACAAGTCTGTTGGTTTGTCAACATGTAACCGGTCCTCGGTCGATTCAATATTTGCACTGCCCGCTGACCGTGTCCCATGTCTTACCACCATTCATGGATTCAATCTGACTTTCCATTTACCTCAATGTGTATTACATGGTAACAGTATATAATTCCATCTTACTGATAACACAAATGCGAAAGTTTAGATGAATGTTACAAGGTATCACCAGATCTGAATGGATCTCGCTGAAATTTGGCATAGATTTCGAACATAGTCCGGGAGAACACATAGCCATTTAATTCTCCATTATGTTTTACTTCTCGCGGACAGAGTTGCAGGCAACAATTAGTTTGGATATAATTTACACAAACTAGGAATAATTTAGACAGTGCCAGTACCTATTGCAAGTATACAAATTTGAAGATTGTACGAATTTTAAAAATAAAAGCTTCACTATAAAATCACACTGCTTCATCTCATATTTTACTACCATACTCAGTGGCGTTTGGATGCTTAATTAAACAGTTGATATAAATATTTTATATACCAAATCTACACTATTGACTTAGTCTATGTCAGTTCTATACAAACGCCTTACTCTTAACCTATTGAGCTTTCAATAAGCAAAATTATCTCTATCAATAAACTCGTCAAATTTTACGTTTCCTTGAAGTCCAAGAGGACAATCTTACGTAATGTCACTTAATAACATGTTGTGTCGATCATGATAATGAAATGTTTTGGAATCCGCGCCGCTACAAAGGAATTTTGTGAGAACTTGATGCGAGATTAAATCAAAATCTTGATGAAACTTTAAACCAACGACTAGTGTGTGCGGTTAAGATGCATTTACACCAGTTAAAAAGCGAATACAAAACCTGTTCGAAAAATAAAAAAATAAACTGTAAAAATTTTGTTTTCTCATTTTTCAAATACACAAAATCACTAATATAATTTTGGCTGTTATTGACAAAAATTTTTTGATCAATGAAATAGATGACAATCACTTCAATATAACAAAATTTTTAGACGTATTTATTTTTAATTTAATATTAAAAACATACTAGCTGTCGCCCGCAACTCCGTCCGCGGGTAATTAATAAAAACTTAATTAGTAGTATATGTATCCTGCCAGAATATGTTATACATCTATGCCAAATTTCAAGGAGATCCATGCAACCGTTCTAGAGAAACCTTCAAACATCCATCCATCGAAACATTCGCATTTATAATACTAGTAAAATTAAATGATAAAATATACCTTTACTTTTGTAATCAATACTTTACCGTTGTAATCATTATTAAAATTAAATGTCAATTACTTCAGCAGTTATAACAAATGTTACACCAAAAAACGTTTAAAATGTACCAATAAAATAGTAAAGAATAGCCTATGACTTTTGTTTTCTTACTGTAGCGTATCCTAGCTTGAGTGTAAACTTGTCTTTAGAAAGGGGTCATTACACTTTTTTGTTTATCTTGCCATAGAGTAATGATATATTATTTACGCGTCGCATTCTCTGCATGACAACGAGGTAGTCTGTAGTCATTATCATTATGCGCCGACGCCACGTCGCTGCTGTCCGATGGTCAATTTGGTTTTTTCGTACACTTCTAAGAAATGTTCGCGGTTAATTTTAAATATTTATCCTTTTTCCCCTTCACTTTATCGTACATTGTTTGTTTAGTTCCTTATTGAGTGTGATAAGTGATGCGGAAATGGTAGCGATGCGAAGTTGTTTGAATGTGACTACAATTAAATATTATACAACTAGCTTTTGCTCGCAACTCCGTCCGAACCCAACTAAAAAAAACTTAATTAGTACCCTATGTAGTGTGTGTTCTATACACAAAAAATTTTAGTGACAAGAGTAAGGTACTAATTACTGTAGGGAGTGTTCCAAATATGTACCAAATTTTATCGAAATCCAAACAGCCTTTCTTGACATAACTTCAAATGAACATACATCCATCCAAACATTCACATTTATAATATTAGTAAGATATTTTGTCATCCATGTCGTTCTTCTTTAACAAACTAAACTGATCAGAAGTTTTTATTTTTTCATTACATATTTTCGTACGGGTTTTTCGGCAGAAACTCATGATAACTAAGCATTTATCAATTTTAAAATAAAACTATTTAAGCAATCTAAAACTTCCGTTAGTATTTTTAATTGTCTACGTGTCTGCGATGAATTCCGCTTTCAGTAATTCCCATATTTCTAATTAAATCGTGATAAGTACAATGCAAATAATTTATAAGGAAATCGTTTCTTAATTACTTCCGATGTTTACTACGGATCCTTGTATATTTCCTATATTATAATTCACCAAATTATTCAATACTTGTTTAATTTGCGTGATGATAATTGTATAAATACACGTATAGTATAAAATACAATAATATTTTAAAACATTTTTTTATAAATACACATATCGTGATAAACTAGGAAACTACTGAACGGATTACGAATTGTTGCATGCATTTTGATTGATGACCTTATTAAAAAAAAAATTATATATATATATTTGGTCACAACAGATGGCGGTTTAAAATCTTACTAATATCATAAATTAGCTGTCGCCCGCGACTCTGTCCGCGTGGATAAATAAAAAAACTTAATTAGTGTAGCCCACCCATCCGTCCATCCACATCACATCCATCTAAACATTCGCATTTATAACATTAGTAAGTTAAATAAAAAGAGCTCTTCAAGGGATAAATTAAAAAAAAATATATAAATATAACAGTATCCCTATGTCCGTCTCCTGGCTCTAAGCTACTTTCTCACCAATTTTGAGCCATATCGGTAAAGCCATTCTTGAATTATAAATAGTGTAACTAACACGACTTTCTTATATATATCTAGATAAATGCGAATGTTTTAATGGATCGATGTTTATGTGAAGATATCTCTTGAACGGCTGAACGGATCTTGATGAAATTTGGCATACATATAAAACATAGTTTGGAAGAACACATAGGCTACTAATTATGTTTTTTTTTATTCCGCACGAACGGAGTCGTGGACGACAGCTAGTTGATAATACTTCAACATGTTTTGAGAAGCATACTCATTTCAGTCCATTTTCAACCTTAATATTATCAATCGATACAAAACAAAAGATACGAGAAATGGAAACGTAATTGTTTAAAAAAAAGTAATTTAAAAAAATAGTAGGGATAAAGCATCGGAACAATGATTAAAGTTTATCTCGAAACTAAAGCTATTTTAATACCTGGCCAATCGAATACCGCCGTTAATAATATTAATCGAACCGATTGCCCACAAAATGCTTTTAAGTTGATTCGATTCGGCCGCTCTGGCAACACTATACAAAAACCAATTTAACAAGACCTCCATTACTGGGTAACGTGTATAATTTTTACGCTTAATGGAAAGAAACATAGTGTGTTTTAACGGACCAAAAGAACTGGTTGTAAAGACGGCTTCAATATCTCCTTGAGACTAGAGTCTCGAATTACCCGGATCACGTTCAAGGTGCGCTCGGCTAAAGTGGTGGTCAGTGACGAGTAAACGTATCGTATGTTATCTTAGTATCGATACGTTGCCAATATTTTATATATGTTCGTATCACGGGAAGACCACCAAGTATTTTATGTACGAAATTATATATACTTCGTTTATACTACTCGACAATGTAATCTTACCAATATTATAAATGCGAATGTTTGGATGGATGGATGTTTGTTTGAAGGTATCTCCGGAACGGCTGAAAGGATCCCTCTGAAATATGGTATAAATGTAGAACATAACCTAGAAGAACACATAGCTACTGATTTAGTTTATTTTTAGTTCAGTGCAAACGGAGTCGCGGGGACAGCTAGTATCAGTATAAATTAATATATACAATAATGAAAGTTACTTTACGTTACCCCATCTAATTATATTCATATTTCATAGTATTTTAATTGAACAATAAAAAATGTACTTAATTTTAATTAAATTGTTAATCGAAAGATATTTTTATAATCAAAAATAGCATCTATAAATTCAATTTGAATAAATATTGAATTAAAATTTTTCTTTACGCTCGAACACCGTCGCTCGATAAATATAGAGATATCTTCAACTTGTATTGGACTCCGCCCCTAAGACATTAATTATTGGCTACATGCAATAGAATAAATAAAAAAAACACCGAATACATTACAGTCGGCATACTAAGATTATGTTTCTTTGTTCCAGGTACATTCACTCAAAAGAAAAACCATTCAAATGTACAGAATGCGGAAAAGGTTTCTGCCAATCCCGTACATTGGCCGTCCACAAGATACTTCACATGGAAGAATCTCCGCATAAATGTCCAGTATGCAGCCGGAGTTTTAATCAACGATCAAATCTTAAAACACATTTACTCACTCACACGGATCACAAGCCTTATGAATGTAATTCTTGCGGAAAAGTCTTCAGAAGGAATTGCGACTTACGACGGCACGCTTTGACACACGCTGTCGGCGATGTGCCTCCTGGAGATGTACTAGATGTCGGCGAGGAAGACATAGGACGCCCGGGATCACCGATTGAACCGGGATACGACGATGAAGATCCTGAATTATCTTCACCAGAACACTCACCAGTTAGGAGAGCACGATCATCATCGATTGAAAGTGTTGGAAGAGAGCAAAGTGAAGAGAGGCCGAGGCGGACATCACCATCACCCGTAGAACGTACGCATTGTCATCATAACGAACCTAGAGATAGGGCCAGCCCTTATACAATGCGCCCGCAGTATATGGAGAAGCACAAACTTGCAACATCAGATTTATATGAAAAGCGAAGATACACTTCTGAAGAAATAATAGAAAAAGAGATGCGTTACACAGATATACTAGATCAGCAAGTAAGACATCCTCAATTACAGATTCGAAGAGATTTACATCAAGTGCAGCCACCGGATCCTTCTAAAATTGGACACATTACCAGTCCGCCAATGGATCCAGGGCCTTCTGGAATGTATTTGAGTTCCTTCAGAAAAAGAACGCATGCTCCTGATATAGGTGATAATATAAGAACCTGTGCATCTGTATATCGAAGTCGATCTCCTGAACCTACAAATCTCACAATGCCTCGACCACCGATTGGTAATGGCGACGTCGTAGTGGCAATGCCTCCAACAATTATGGGAATGCAAACGTACCATAAATTTGGTCTCCCAATGCCTCCCCCTCATCCTCAAATACCTTATGGATCTGTTCCGCATACAGTATTAGGGCCCCAGCAAACTGTTGCTCAAGATTTGATTGTAAAACATGCTCCGCCCAAAGACTCTGTACCAAGCACATCGACAAGTGTTACTAATTGCAAAGAACTGCTGCCTCCGCAGCCGAAAGAGTCAGAAGAAACATGCTCAAGTGCCATTGCTAATGGTATCAAGAATATAGTTGGAATACAACCACCGACAAATCCGAAGCCAGGAACAAGTAACTCAAGTGGTCCTAAAAAAGGTTTTAGTATAGAAGATATAATGAGACGTTAATTTTATGAGTTATCTTTTCAACTATGTTATTAGAAGATTTTGTAAATAAATTATTATTTTGTATTATTTGTTGTAAGCTATTTTTAATTTGAAAGTATTACTAGGTCAAGTTTATACGTAAAACATTACTAGGGGTACGTTTGTCCGTAAGAGCTATAAGAATTTGGTTTTCGTGAAGATCTCATAAGGTTTGTTTGTGCAGTGTTTTATTTACCTCTAAATTTTAAAAGTTAGTTATCAAAATTTTAGGCCATACATAATTTTATTTCGTGTGTTTATTTTTAATATCAAATGTATGTAGAAATTGATATAATTTTGTTTCGGATTTGTTCTGAAAAATTTTTATGCAAATAAAAATTATGATTATTAACTATGACTGGTTCAAATGTGTTATTTATTGTTTAGTTATTTTATAATTATTATATAACTTAGTTTAATTTTAATCTTCTAAGTGCTACATGTAATCTTTTGTTAAAAGTACTTTTTCTGAGTACTACGACTGGTTGGAATTTTTATCTTCATAATAAAGCTTTTATAAATGTGATGTTTTGAATAAAGAATTTAAAATCAGATGTAACTTTATAAAAACTATTAAATTATTCAGACTTTCGTGAGACATTATAATGAACTGATATAAAAACGGCTAAACACTCACGTATATTCGTCCGGTGGCGGCACCGACTAGTTTCGAGCCCATCGGAGGCCCTTCACCAAGATGAGTGGTACTGGGATTATTTCTCGGACGCGGCCCGTCACTGCGCGCCTGCGCTCTTATGGCGCGTCTTGAGGGGGCGCGGGGTGTGCTATGTCCGTGGAAATAATACCAGTACCAATCATCCTGATGAAGGGCCCCCGATGGGCTCGTAACTAGTCGGAGCCGCCACCGGACGAATATACGTGAGTGTTTAGCCGTTTTTTTATTAGCTTTTTATAAAAACTGTTGTTTAAATACGTTATTAAATAATAAATAAAGAATATTTGGTACTAAATGAAACTGCAGATTTGTTGAGTACATTGTCAAAGTTAAGATATAGTTAAGTAATTGTTGCTCAGATTAATCACGTTTAAGATATAACTTAGATTAGTTTACTATGTATAAATTCTTATTTTTATACTAATAAATTATATCAAGTAATGTTTGTTTAATTGTATTACCCTATTAACATTCCCCTTAACTTCAACAGAGCAGAATAAAAAAAAAGATAACATTGATAGCCCGTTGGTGATGGACACGGGGGAGTTCATCACCGTCGACTGAGGGCTACCTCCCCCCGAGAGGGAGCTGCCTTGGCAGCTGACGCTGACGGGATCGCGGACGAAAGCGAAAGCGTGCCCGTGGTCTCGTCCCGATGCGTTGGAGGAACAGAAAAAAATAAAATAACAATGATGACAAATCTTTTTTCTTCGTCTTCTCTTTAAAAAAACACAGGAGTATGCTGATACGCATTTGGCAGTGGAACTGTCGCAGCATTTAACAATATATTGATCTCTAAAAGAGCTAAAACTAATTTCATTCAAGTGTAGTGAGACATTCTTCAAAATGAGTCCATTAATCCATTATTAGCCATAAATGGATCTAAGATAGGACTGAATAAAGTAACAGCTAAATGCTTGGCTATCTGTTTAAGTAGGTATCAAGGAAAGAAGGTCGCCATGATATGACATTGTCTCCAGCACCAAATTCTGTCTGATCCCATTAATTCTTACAAATTTATATCAAGTAATACTGTCACAAATATGCAGATGGTAGACATATCTATTTATGTTCAAAATGTTGCTGTCTTATTAAGATTGTGAATTTATAAGGGAGGAGCTGTCGCCGCGACTGTGTCCGTGCAAAAAAAAAAACTTAATTAGTAGCTTACGTGTTCTACCAGAATTTGCTCTATACGTATATCAAATTTCATCAATATCCGTTCAGCCATTCTAGAGATACTTTCAAACAAACATCCATGCATCCATCCATCCATCTAAACACGCGCAATTATAATATTAGGCTATCATCATCATCTTCGAGTCACTATACATCCCCTCTGAGGGGCTCAGAGACTATCCTAAGGTTATCGACGCTTCCAAATATTACTTTATTTTAACATGACCAGTAGGAGACATGATTAAATTTAAGCATTCCCTGTTTTACGAATCTTGTTTGCTTACATACTTATAGCTTGAAGACATGTCTCGTTTTAAATAATGTTTCAAAGGAATACTTACACGGAATATAAAAGATTAACCGGCCACGATCCTTCTCACGTAAGTACTTCGGCTAAAGGAGCAACCGTGTTTATAAGCAAAAAGGTGTTTTAACGACCGAAATTTTATGAGGGGACGAACGAAGTCCCTCTGAGTTCTTACCGACTGCTACTTGGGAGTTTATGCAAATCGTCTGCCGCCCAATGAGAAATAACAATAAAAACGTTTTTACGATCGAATGTCTTTCCTTCTCCTATATTACAATTCGTTCGGTGCGTGGTGAAAGTATGGAATGTATGGCGATCATACCGCACGGGCTCTATGTCCGTGGATAATTGTTAGAGCATCCGATCGATAGCGGCTAATAACTGCACGCTTCATGCGAATTAATAACTGAAACACACAATCTGGATAATCACTCTGTATCATAAGAGATAGAGTAAGTAAAAAAATAAGGGTTTTACTAATTCATATATTTATACGCCATGATGTCTCTGATTGCGGTGAAAGATTTAGAGAATCCTGTCGCAGATATTGAGGTGGGCCTAATCTTGAACAAGTTACATTCATATACAGAGAGAGCTTATAGTCTTGTTTAATAATATAAGGTGGCAAACTAGCAAGCCACCTGAATTCATTGAAATAGCAAAGCGATCGATGGCCACAGACATTCGCAATTGCAGATTGCGTTGCCTACTTTTGATTGTCGGAAGAGAGGACGCACAGAAAGAAAATATTTTCCATCCACGCGGATCCCAAGGATATCGATCCCGTCATTCATCAAATCCACTTCCTCTTCCCATCCTTTCCTTATGAAAAAAGGGTGAGAAGGGTATAAGGACAAGTTTGAGCCTCCGGCACCAACTTTTCATGACACTCTCGGCTTTATTAAGTGCAATGAAATGGGAACGATGTAGTCGTATTGAGCAAGTAACACCATTGTGGTTTTTAGAACGTTATTTCTAAGGATTCATTGCCAGGTCTTGCATTAAGTCGAAATGTCATCACCTAACCCGTACCCGGATCCAAGCAGTTCTATATAATCATAAATCTGGCCCACGTGCGCCGAATCCAAAATATAACGAGCACTCATAGCTTTGCATAAAGCAATCCACTGCGCGGGAAATCCGTACAGGTAATCTAAACCACCGCTTTATACGTGATGAGAAAGCTTAGTTACACAGTAACTCTTCGTTATAAACGTGTGTTTTGTTTTATTTTAATAAAAACAATTGCGTTTTAATCATCTTACTGTCGCTACGGATGGTTGCGATAGAATGTAGTCTCCCTTACATTCCTATCACTTGTCATATTTGTTTAAATCCCTTCTTACGCATGTTTCAAAGTTCTTGTACTAGATCTGTACATATCCATTAATTAGAGTTAAGTAAAATACTAGCTGTCACCTACGAATCCGTCCACGGTACTAAAATACTTAACTAGTAGCCTATATGTTCTTCAAGACTACGTTTAAATCTATGGCTAATTTCAGCGAGATCTATGCTGCCGTTCTGGTGATACCTTCAAGCAAACATCCATCCCTCCTTCTAACCAAACGTTCGCATTTATAATATTAGTAAGATTAATAATTAATTTAAACTGACACTTTATAAAAAAAGTATGTTGAATATTTATATTTTAATATTAAATGCTGCGAAATATATATAAGCTTTAAATTTGTGTTGCAATCGACTCTATTGTTGTCACGTATAAACTGTTGGCTTCAATTGAAATTGTGCCCTGAATACACTTAAACATTAACTTATGACCAATAATTCAAAGAAATATATACATACTTTTCACGTTGAGTAATGATACTTAGGTAAAACCTACATTTATGTATCTAGAAAGTTTCTTCAACTAACCGTAGGTTTCTGAGAGCATAAGACATAGGTTTAAAACATATGTTTTGTGGAAGCTAATGACCCATGTCATTATGACGATATGATTCATACAGAGATATTGATTGCAGAAATCCACAGTAATTCCTTCATAATATGTAGCATATACTAAAAGAAGTTTTAAGATAAATTTCAATAAAATCGTGTTAATATACTCTTTTAATCAACATTAAAAGCTGGCCAATAATAAAAATAAAAACGTAATAATAATGGTAATTGTCTCCACGCTTTATTTTACGACCTCCATAAATGTTACATACGCTATCTTTTTTCCACATCTTTGTTTTTCGAACGTGTCGTCTTCCGCAAAAAAAAAACATTTCGCGCCAAACGTCAGAGGCAAGCGGTGTGATCATCAATCGCTCCAATGCCACCGGATCGTCTGTAATTAGTTTTTTTTTACATCTATCAACTTTTTGTCCAAAGACAGGTTTACGTTCGTTATAAAATTGATCGACGATCGATATTCAAAACAAATTAAAATTGTTGTTATAATACTTCTGCGTAGGATGATTTCGTATTGTAATTAATATTTTTTAACGATAAAACAGCCAGATATTTCGTAAGTTACCCAAAACTTAGCTGATGTTGAAAGTCAATTATAACCAAAACAGTTAT